CGCAGTTTTGGGGGTGGAAGATGCCTGGACGTGTAATGTTAATTCTTGCCTGTGACCCTTTGAATAAACCAGCACGGTTATATTTTTTTATATACTCAAGTGGTCCGCTTCATCTCTCTGAGTTCCTGGTTGAAAGAACCGGACATGGCTTTATAACAAAATAGAGCCTTTAAGACCAATGACCATTGTGTCATCTGCACACTTTAGGAGTTTGACAGAGGGGTCCTTCGTGATGCAGTCATTGGTGTAGAGTGAAAACAGTAGAGGACACATCCCTGGGGGGCACCTGTGCTTATTGTCTGGATGCTGGATGTGGTTTTCCCCAGCCGCACTTGCTGCTTCCTGTTTGTCAGAAAACTGGTGATCCACTTACAGGTGGGGGCAGGCACAGTGAGCTGGGTCAGTTTGGAGTGGAGGATGTCCGGGATGATGGTGTTGAATGCTGAGCTAAAGTCCACAAAGAGGGCCTGTGCATAGGTCCCTGGGGAGTTGAGGTGTTGCAGGATGTAATGCAGTGCTATGTTGATTGCATCGTCCACCAACCTGTTTGTTCTGTAGGCAAACTGCAGGGGGTCCAGGAGTGGGTCTACGATGTCCTTCAGGTGGGCCAACACCAGTCTTGTGAAGGACTCCATAACTACACATGTCAGGGCAACAGGTCTGTAGTCGTTCAGTCCACTGATGGAGGTTTTCTTAGGGACTGGGATGATGGTGGAGCGTTTGAAGCAGGAGGGGACTTCACACAGCTCCAGTGACCTGTTGAAGATAAGTGTGAAGATGGGGGCCAGCTGATCAGCATACACTTTCAGGCAGGAGGGGGTCACACCATCTGGGCCTGGTGCCTTTCTGATCCTTTGTTTTTTAAAGAGACCACTCACATCCTTTTCACAGATCATTAGAGGTGGGGGGCAGGGGGGAAGGGTGGTGATTGTTGGGGGAGCAGCTGCTGGGTCTGAGGTGGGGAGGGTGAGGGGGGAGTGTTGATTGTCAAACCTGCAGTTAGTGATGGGCAATCGAGGCTTTGTTGAAGCTTCAACACAGTATTCACAAAGATGGTTCATTACTGGAGGCATCAATGACACAGTGCTCGAGTAGGACATCTAGTGGTCAAATGAAGTGCAATCAAGACATGTCTGGTTCATGGATCGTTTGGGATTTGATTCGCCATGCACATTCCTGTTCGACTACACTACATGGTTGTATGGTTTCAAGCTGACACAATAAAATATAAAATAAACATGAACTCATGTTGAAGACCGTGTGTCTTATTTGGCGTGTCTGATTGTAACCCTATATACTCCTCACTTATATTTTGTGTTATGAAACATTTAAATGGTGCTGCAACATTCATGAGATGTGCTCTACAGATTCAGACAGATGTCATTTTCACATGGGACTGGTGCAAATACAGATTATAGTATGGACCTTGGTAA